TCAATAATCTTCGAGGAGAAGATCTTGATTTCGATGATCGATCACTTTGAAAACAACGAGAATATTGAGTTCTTACAAAATATTGAACTAAAAATACATTTTTTTCCCATTTGGGTTGCATTAAAGTTATGAATTTTGTAAAATTATTTTAGATTTAAATGTTGATTACCCATTAGATTTTATTGTAAAAGAAAAAAGAAGCGTATGAGAAGTGAAATTTTGGCTTGAGATAATTTTAGAATCTAGTGTTCAAATATCTTGTGCATATTTGTGTAATATAGTTCCGAAATAAATACCCACCCCTATCAAATATTCACTTCACATTTCGCTCCTGTGTGGTGGGTATTAAAATCAATTTTTTAGTAAATTTTGATAAAAGTTGATGGAATGTGTAATTGGAAATTTATGGATGCCATGAAATATGCAATTAAAATTAATTGTTGACTTGATTTATATTAAAATCTAATTTTTAATCCATACCAAACAGAGCTTCATTCAAAATTTTAGATACGGTAAAATTCCTCAGTGTCAATATATCTCATTGATTCGGTCTATCCTTGACATCACATGAGTGTTACGTTCTACATTGAACATTTATATAATTATTATTTTTGTTAAATGGAGCATGAATATCATAATATAAAAATTTGGAGGTATGGTATGCATCAATGTTCTCAAAATTGGACAGTCGGTTCGACTGAGAAAATAAAAAATCGATCGAAATTCGGTCCAATCACATCATAAAAACCGGATGTAAAGAAATCGATGAAAAATTTAGAAACCATTTGGTTGAACCGATTACAATTTTTAACAGGTTCATGGTTGATAATTTGTAAAAAAAAAAAAAAATGAGTTAAATGAAGAAGATAACAGTCTAATAATGCCAGCAACACCACTATTTCTTTGGTTAGGCCTTGCATAAGGTTTCACACAAAGAGTTTTGCTACACAAATAGGCTCAATGACGGGTTAAAAAAAGGTGAGATATGTGTCGACACATTATTAAACAGTTTGAGAAAAAATCACCCAAACAGGTGCTGCCACGCAGCACTTGTCACCGACCATGTCAAAAGCTCCTGTTCGAGGAGTATTATTTACACAAAATATGCAACATCCAAAACGATCTTAAACAAATACAAGTATTTGGGTGTGTGTATATATATATATATATATGCGTGTGTGTGCGCGCGCTCACGTGAGAGAGAAAGAGAGAGAAGATAAGAGGCAGCAAGAAGTTGAAGTTAAAAGAATCTGGAAAAAAGGTAGGAAGTTGTATATTCATAGCCTGGTTATATATATATA